AATATATTATAAAATATTATTGTACTGCAAATTCTCGAAATAGCGAGCATCTGTGTGCTATTTTGACTATGTGCACTTTATTTTGAATATGCCCATAAGTATTATTTTGAATTAAAGGTTGATTTTTAATAAACTTGATTGCCAAAAGATCATACGTAAAAAGTTAAAAGATCATATGTAAAAACAGAAAAAAGAAACCAAAAAACTGATAAATTAAAAAAGCAAATATAGATTTAACAAGTAATTTTATATGTGGTACACATTATTTTGGGATACGCATAAGAGTTATTTTGAATTCGCATATTCTATTTTTAGGAGGTACAAATTTTGAATTAACGCCCATGCCTGCTATTCTGAGAATTTACAGTATTTATTTTTGTATGTGCTTTTTAGAACAATATTGCTTTAATACTAACTACTAATTTTAAAAAATGATTATAAAAGTTTTCAAAGAGAGGCCTAGAATAGAGAAAAAAATACAAAATGAAATGTCAACAAATATAGTAACTTTAGCTAAAGCAGATAATAACTATGATAATGTGTATTTTGATGAAAATAATTTAAAAGAAGAAGAAGGAGAATCAAATAAAGCTAAGTTAGATAATGAAAATGATTCTAGTAATTTTGAAGAAAAGATACTAGATGAATCAGATAATAATAGATATAGTGAATATAGTAGATATAATAAATATAGTGAATCTAATAGAAGTTATTATTATGATTTAAGTAGTGAAAAAAAACTTATAAAAATTCTGATAATATAATTAAAGTATATTAATACACAATACTTGAATTCCATAATAGCAGATTAATAAAGTTAACTCAATAGTTTTTATTAATTAATAATCGCAAATTATATTGTAAAAAATTGTATAAAAATAAAAGATTAAGAACTCGGTAGAATTCCTTTTTTATTTAATATTTTTTTGTCAAACTAATAATATACAAATAAAAAATATATTATTTTTTTTCATATCACTATAATTTCTATCATCACTTTAGTCATATCTTTATCTAGTTTTATATGACCAGATATGTCTAGGCTTTAAGCTTGTTACTAGATTCTTAGTGCTGTAACAAATTAGGCAAGAGCTCTACCTTGCTTTTTAATTTCTGTTTTTTTGCACCAATCTGTACTTTCTTTTTTTATACAATAGAGTTCAATCTGTCTTCCACTTATATATATATAATTATTAAGGTGTTATTAGTCTTGGTGGTGTTATTAATCTTGATAATAATATTGTTGATATTGGTAGTAGTAGTTTTTTTATTATTGCCTATTTTTTGTATCTAAATACAAAAAAATTATACTAAGTAAAAATTCAATTTTATAGCTGAAGTAAAATGAAATAACACAAAATTATTTAAAAAATACAAATAAGTAAGTAAAAATATATATAAGCAAAAAATATTATTATTGCTAACTTATATTGTGAGTGAAAACTTACTTATTTTATATTTCATATTCATTAGATCTGAGAATTTACTAAAAAGAAAATGCACAAATAGTAATTATATTATCCAAATTCAACACTAGTTTTTTCTTTATAAAGCAACTCTGTTTGATTATAATTTTCAAATACTAAATCTATTTTATTGTTTTGCTTGTGAAATTAAACCTCTTATAATCAATGATCACTTAAGGTAGGTATAGATCTGATAATCTTAGGAGATGACAAAGATTCCAAGTTCCTGCAACATATGATTTTTAACAAAACTACTGATTAAGAATATTATACGTACAGTACCGAACAGCAAGAAATATCTAATCTTTTTTAAAAGCACTAAATTTTGAGATTTATACTCAAATCTGATTGGCTAGTTTTTGTGTAACAAGATTCTGATTGGTTAAAAATCTATAAAAACAATTTTTTTATATATTAAACGCCAAATTTTTAA